CCCCAGGATTTAGGGTTTCGGGTTTCGGGTTTGCAGTTAGGGTTTAGGGTTTAGGGTTAAGGAGGCCTTGCGCGCCATGGCAAAAGAAGGGCTCTTAGCCGCACGTGTTATTCGGTGGAATTGTTCGTGAGGGTTCACCCTTGCGGTGTGGTCCGGCTTAAGGTGAGGGAAATGCCTGGCAGCGCCGACCTCTCGGTAGTATGGGAATTGCATACCACGGCGTCTACCTTTGAGGAGAATTCTATCTTCCCGAATACTATGTCATGTGTGATCTGATCTCTGTCCTGTTGGAAGACTCTAACAAGATATCTGTACTGGGCGTCGCTGAGAAATTGTGAGGGCAATCTGGGGTATTGGGGTTTGGGGGTTTGGGGTTTAGGGTTTAAGCCTTAGCGTTTGGGGGTTTAGGGTTTGGGGTTAAGGGCCTTCAACACCTTAAGACCTCCTTCGATGGAATCCGCGAGCAGGTCTTCCACGTCAAAATCCATTCTACCCCCTCTTTCATCGCATTCAGTTGCCTGTGATGTCTTTCTCGTATGGAAGCCCAATAGAAGCTACGTTCGGCCACGATTTGTCGGGCTTAAGCTTCTATTGGCTTTTTGTTAAGGCCTTGTTTGCAAGCTCGCTTGGGGGAGGGAGAGGCAACTTCCTCTCGGACTATTTAACTCTGCGAGCTGTTTGGCATGTTTTGTGGGCCAGCAAGCCCCCGAGACGCTAAACCCTAAACCCCAACTATCTAAGGGTAGTTACATGGTCCCTTAGTATGGGCCTTGAAACGGGGATCCCTTCTATACCCCTTATCCATACTACAGAAGCCTTTGAAGAAGGCAAGGACCATATTCAGGGACCATGTGACTACCCTGAAACCCTCAACCTAAACCCTAAACCCTAAACCCTGAACCCTAAACCCTAAACCCTAAACCTAAACCCTAAACCCTAAACCACAAAAAGCCACCAGTGGGCCCTAAGCTGGTCGTGTCCTTGGCCAGATCGGGCAGCGACCCGGAAGCCTGCTTCGGGTTTAGGGTTTAGGGTTTAGGGTTTAGGGTTTAGGGTTTAGGGTTTAGGGTTTAGGGTTTAGGGTTTAGGGTTTAGGGTTTAGGGTTTAGGGTTTAGGGTTTAGGGTTTAGGGTTAAGGGTTAAGGGTTAAGGGTTAAGGGTTAAGGGTTAAGGGTTTAGGGTTTAGGGTTTAGGGTTTAGGGTTTAGGGTGTGTCAGGGGAGGGCGCGCGCTCGGGTGTGAAACACCCCGGGCCGCGCGCTCGCGTTGCCCGTCAACCCACCCCGGCCACCCAAACTATACTCTATTAGGGTTTAGGGTTTATGGAATTTACTTTCTTGTGCTCTGATGCTTGCTTTGATGTTTTAAAGTTGCGCTGTTAGGGTTTAAGCTGGGGTTGGGGGTAGCCTCGGCCCTTTTCGGGCCTTCGGCGTGTCAGGGCCCGTAGAGGCCCTTATTTATTTGAAGGTCAGGGAAACCCTTTGTGTCTGCTTTTGGATTCCCCTTCTTTAAGGGCCTCAATTAAGCATCGATTTCACTACCAAAAAATCGCATTTTTCATTGCGGGTACGGGCATCCTGGGGTCCCGCTTCTTTTAGGGGGCCTTTTGAAGCCTTTTGAAGTATTTTGGTGGCTCTTGGGGTCTCTCGGGGCCTTGTTCGGACCTTCGGCGTGTCAGGGGCCGTAGAGGCTTTATTCATTTAAAGGTCAGGGAACCTATTAATGAGTTTTTCGCCAATGAGTCTTTCAATCGCTAGGGTTTAAGCTCGGGTTCGGGGTAGCCTCGGCCCTTTTCGGGCCTTCGGCAAGTTAGGGCCCGTAGAGGCCCTTATTTGCTTGAAGGCCTTCGTAGGGTTTTGCGGTGTTAGGGTTTAAGCTGGGGTTCGGGGTAGCCTCGGCCCTTTTCGGGCCTTCGGCACGTTAGGGCCCGTAGAAGCCCTTATTTGCTTGAAGGCCGTCGTAGGGTTTTGCGGTGTCAGGGTTTAGGCTGGGGTTCGGGGTAGTTTCGGTCCTTTTCGGGCCTTCGGCACGTGGGCCCGTAGAGGTCCTTGCTGATTTAGGGGGCGATTTCAATACTAAAAGGCGGGCAGGGGCCTAAAAACAATGTTTTCAACATTCTCATTGTGGGCACGGACAAATCTTGCGGTCCCCCTTCTTTTAGTGGGCCTTTTGAAGCTTTTGAAGCTTTTGGTGGCTCTTGGCGCCTTTTGGGGGCTTCCTAGGCCCTTAGCCGGGGGGTGCTTGGCAGGGTGTTAGGCCCTTGGTCCGGGCAAGGGGCCTTGGCCAAGGGGGCGTATTGTTGGGGGGTTCTTGGCCTGTCCTTGGCTCCTTGGCTTGGCCCCGGCCCGGCAGGCCCTTGGCCCGGGCACCCTGCCCTTGGCGGAGGGTCCTTGGCCCGGGGGGCCCTTGGCTCAAGGGGGCCCTTGGCCCGGAGGCCCGGCTCGGAAAGCCTTGGTGGGGGGATTTGGGGGGCCCTTGGCCCGGGGCCCGGGCCCTTGGCCCGGGGGGCCCCTGGTTCGGGGGGCCCCGGGGGCCGTTACCCCAAGAGCCCTTGGCCGGGAGGCCCTTGGCCCCGGGAGCCCTTAGTTTTGGGGGGCCCTTGGGTCGGGGGGCCCTTGGTGGGGGGGGCCCTTGGCCCGGGACCTTGCCCCAAAAAAACCCCTTCGCCCTTGGGGCCCTTGGGGGGGGGGCCCTGGGCCCGGGGGGCCCTTGGCCCGGGGGGCCCTTGGCCCGGGGGGCACTTGGCCCGGGGGGCCCTTGGCCCGGGGGGCCCTTGGCCCCGGGGGGCCCTTGGCCCGGGACCTGGATCCGTGAAAAAGCCCCCAAAATCACGAAATTGAGCAACCAGCCTGCCTGGACCCCTCGCCAGCCTCCTGGTCCAGGAATCCAGCTACCAGGGACCAGGGGGCCCCCGGGGGGGGGGGCCCGACAAACCCTGAACCCAAAACCCTGAACCGACCTCCAGAGGCAAAGGGTTACGATTTGGGGTTATACTTTAGCTACGCTAAAGGTGGTCTGGGTGCCGGCCATCCCTTAGCCGAGTACTGACGTTGTCGTAAAAAAGGCCGATGTCCGTTGGCCTGTCCAGGACAGACGGTGAGGCTTAACCCTCACCTTTCCGTTTCTCTTTTCGCTTGGGCGCTCGGGCTGTAAGGCCCTCGGCCGAGCGTTCGGGGTCTGTCGCTCGACGGAAGCGACCCCTCACTTAGTTTAGGGTTTAGGGTTTAGGGTTTAGGGTTTAGTTTCTAGGGGTCTGCTTGAAGGTTCATGGGACATTACTAACAGGTGGGGGCTTAGGGCTTAGAAGTTCTTGAGGGTTCGAGAAGTTGTAGGTCGGGTTCGAGGAGCCACCTATGTAGCGTAAAGGGAAGCCTAAACCCTAAACCCTAGACCCTAAACCCTCAACCCTAAACCCTCAACCCTCAACCCTAAACCCTAAACCTCTACCGAGTACCTCCCATGAAGAGTCGAGTACATCCCATTAAAAGAGTCGGCCTGAAGAGGTGCTTAGGAGCTCCTTTGACTGAGTCAGCCTACTTTCTTGGAGGTTCATGGTACCCCAGGTCTAACAGTACTTATAAGCCCCCCTTAGTCCTCTATGTAGGCTATAAGTAGACTTACGAAACCCTAAACCCTCAACCCCACTGGCCTGACTGAGGGCCTTGTGGGTCTGGAATGTACCGATCAGCGTGGGAATCGCGATAAGCCCGTACCTGGATCATCGGGCAGAGTTTAGGGTTTCGGCTTTAAGGTTCCAGGGTTCCAGGGCTCCAGGGTTTTAGGGTTCTAGGGTTCTAGGGCTCTAGGGTTTTAGGGTTCTAGGGTTCTAGGGCTCTAGGGTTTTAGGGTTCTAGGGTTTGAGAGTTCTAGGGTTCTACGGCTCTAGGGTTCTGAGGTTCTAGGGTTCGAGGGTGCTAGAGTTCTCGGGTTTAGGGTTCTAGGTTCTAGGGTTGTAGATATGGATCTAGGATTCTAGGGTTCTAGGGTTGTAGGGTTCTAGGGTTCTAGGACTCTAGGGTTCTAGGACTCTAGGGTTCTAGGGCTCTAGCAAACCTAAACCTTGTAGGGATCTTCGGATTCTGGATCATACCCACAGTGCACTCAAAGAAGGCAAGAAGCAGTCCCTGTAAGGGCTGGTTTAGGGTTTAGGGTTTAGGGTTTAGGGTTTAGGGTTTAGGGTTTAGGGTTTAGGGTTTAGGGTTTAGGGTTTAGGGTTTAGGGTTTAGGGTTTCGGGTTTCGGGTTTAGGGTTCAGCATCTCAAGTTCAAGCATTCACTAGTCAAGCTCGCTACTACGGTGTCGAATATCGACCCGCCGACCCTTTGGACCCCATAGCATTATGAAAATCTTCGACTTCTCGTTTTAACCCGAATTATTGGTGCTTGTCCACGAATTGCTGGCGCTTCTCCGTGTACCAACACTAAGTAAACGAGTGTTTCTGCTCTGCGAATTGTTGGTGCTTGTCCGGTCCGCGAACTGTTGGTGCTTGGCGTCAGCTTCGGTTCTGCCTTCAAGGTTCGGAACAGCAGCTCGGGTGCCGGAAAAGGGCGGGTCCGATTTGGGTATGGTTGGAATAGGGGGTCCGGTTTCAGCTCCGGCTCGGGCACGTACTAAGGTTTAAAAACACATAAAAGGTAAGAGAGGGTTGAGTGGTTGGTGAAGTGTTGACAGATTTCGACGGGTTTTGGGGCTTTGAGGGTTTGATCAACAAAAAAAGGGGGCTGATATGGGCTTATAGGGGCTTACGGGGGCTTAAAGGGGCTTACAGGGGAACCCTAAACCCTAAACCCTAAACCCTAAACCCTAAGCCCTAAGCCCTAAACCCTAAACCCTAAACCCCAAACCCTAAACCCTAAACAGCAGAAAGGGGGGCACCCGATGAGCATGATCAGCATGGCGATGACCTTGCCCAGCACCGTGGCCGGCACAATGTCGCCGTAGCCAACGGTGCAGATCGTGACGGTGGCCCACCTGTTCTTGGATTTTAGGGTTTAGGGTTTAGGGTTTAGGGTTTAGGGTTTAGGGTTTAGGGTTTAGGGTTTAGGGTTTAGGGTTTAGGGTTTAGGGTTTAGGGTTGAGGGGTTAGGGTTTAGGGTTGAGGGTTTAGGGTTTAGGGTTTAGGGTTTAGGGTTTAGGGTTTAGGGTTTAGGGTTTAGGGTTTAGGGTTTAGGGTTTAGGGTTTAGGGTTGATTAAAAAAAACCCAGCCCTAAAGCACCTGAACAGTAAACCCCAAACCCCTGAACCCTCAACCCCCAAACCCCTAAACCCTTAAACCCTAAGCCCCTTAAATCCTAAACCCCGAAAACCCTAAACCCCTTAAACCCTAAGCCCTATATAAACTCCAAACCCTAAGGCCTAAACCCTAAACCCTAAGCCCTAAACCCCAAACCCTAAGCACCAAACCCTAAACCCTAATCCCTAGACCCCTAGATACCAGCTCAGCTATGGGCCTGAGGGTTGAGTGTTTTAGGGCAGGCTTAAGGGGGGGGAGGGGGGGGGGGGGGGGGGGGGGGGGGGGGGGCATGTAGGAGGCCGAGGGAACTGAGGGAACTTTAAGGCTTTAGGCTTTAGGGTTGGGGTTAAGGGTTTGGGGTTTGGGGCTTAGGGCTTTGGGCTTAGGGCTTAGGGTTTCGGCCGAGGCGCCACATCCCTGCCGGGATGGAGTTCATGGTATTCTGGCCACCCTCAACTACATAGAAGCAGCTCCCCAGCAGAAGGACCACCACAAAGACGCCGAAGAGAAAGACAGAAATGAAGCGCATGTCCTGGCTCAGGGTTCAGGGTTCAGGGTTTCGGGTTTAGGGTTTAAGGTTTAGGGTTTAGGGTTTAGGGTTTAGGGTTTAGGGTTTAGGGTTTAGGGTTTAGGGTTTAGGGTTTAGGGTTTAGGGTTTAGGGTTTAGGGTTTAGGGTTTAGGGTTTAGGGCTCATCAGGGTTTACAACGGGGCTTTGGGCGGTTTAGGGCTTTAGGGGTTGGGTTCAGTTTGGGGCTTAATGGAAAAGTGGAAAAGAGGTCCAGGGCTTCGGAACCCTAAACCCTAGACCCTAAACCCTAGACCCTAGACCCTAAACCCTAAACCCTAAACCCTAAACCCTAAACGGGGGCTCGGGGTGCAGGGTACAAGTTTGGGGGGGAACGCTGCCTCAAGCCGAAGCCCTAGCAAGAATCATGGGTTTCCTTCCTACCCCCCACTATACCCCCCCCCCCCCCGGGTGTTCCCCTACTATCCTCCCTCTATACCACCCCTCCCCCTCAATTAAGGCTGTTTAGGGAAATTAAGCCCAATTACGGGCATTCAAGGGGGGGAAGCTGGGGGGGGGGGGGGGGGGTATAGTGTGGGGGTAGGAAGGAAACCCATGATCTTGCTAGGGCTTCGGCTTGAGGCAGCGTTCCCCCCCAAACTTGTACCCTGCACCCCGAGCCCCCGTTTAGGGTTTAGGGTTTAGGGTTTAGGGTTTAGGGTTTAGGGGGTTTAGGGTTTAGGGTTTAGGGTTTAGGGGTTTAGGGTTTAGGGTTTAGGGTTTAGGGTTTAGGGTTTAGGGTTTAGGGTTTAGGGTTTAGGGTTTAGGGTTTAGGGTTTAGGGTTTAGGGTTTACACCCTAAACCCTGAACCCTAAACCCTAGACCCTAATCTCGGAGCTGCTGGGGCTGAGGATTGTGAAGCGCCCCCATGGCCCTAACACCCTCATGACATCCCTGATGCCCCGAAAAACCCCTAACCCCCGAAACCAAGCCCCTAAGCCCTAAGCCCCTAAAGCACTAAAGCCCTAAACCCTAAAACCTAAAAACCCCCAAACCCTAAAACCCTAAAAACCCTAAAAAACCCTAAAAACCCTAAAACCCCAAAACCCTAAACCTGAACGCCTGAATAAAAACCCCTAAGACCCTCTTGGTAGCCCAGTAACCATATTGTAATAAGGGTACCCTTTTTGGGGTTGGACACTTTGTACGGGAACCAACCCTCAAACCCTAAAACCCTAAAACCCTAAAACCCTAAAACCCTAAAACCCTAAACCCCTAAAACCCTAAAACCCTAAAACCCTAAAACCCTAAAACCCTAAAACCCTAAAACCCTAAAACCCTAAAACCCTAAAACCCTAAAACCCTAAAACCCTTTGAATCCTAAAACCCTAAAAACCTTAAGGCCCTTTAAACCCTAAAACCCAAATAAAACCCTTTGAACCTTAAATCCCTAAAAACCTTAAGATCGTTTAAACCCTAAAACCCTAACAACCCTAAAACCCTAAAAACCCTAAAGCCCTAAAACCTAAGCTGGCCTTGCGGAGGGCCTAGGAAAGAAGCCCCAAAAAATCCTAAAAATCCGAAACCCTACAACTTTAAACCCCAAACTTTGTTCGAATACTACTAAAGGAAACCCTAACACCCTTTAAAAAAAATAAACCCTAAACCCTAAACCCTAAACCCTACACCCTAAACCCGAAACCCTAAACCCTAAACCCTAAGGTGGCCTTGCGGAGGGCATAGGACAGAAGCTGCACCTCGCGGATGTACTGGAGGATCCTCAGCAGGCGTTTAGCGTTTAGGGTTTAGGGTTTAGGGTTTAGGGTTTAGGGTTGAGGGTTTAGGATTTAGGGTTTAGGGTTCAGGGTTACAGGTTTACATCTCCAAAGTGTTGTCAGCCTTGGAGCCCCAGGGCCCTACGGTTCAAGGTGTAGAGTTAGGATGTTAGAGCTCTGGGTTTAGGGTTTAGGGTTTAGGGTTTAGGGTTTAGGGTTTAGGGTTTAGGGTTTAGGGTTTAGGGGCCTTAGGGTCTTTAGGGTTTTTAGGGTTTAGGGTTTAGGGTTTAGGATTTAGGGTTTAGGGGCCTTAGGGTTTTTAGGGTTTTTAGGGTTTTAGGGTTTGGGGGTTTTTAGGGGGTCAGGGTTTTAGGGGGTTAGGGCTTTGGGGAGTTTACGGTTTTTTTGGACTCCGGCGCGTCTGCGGCCAGGGGCGTTGAGGGAGTAGCCTGTGGGGCTGTTAATGGGCCTGGCAGGGCTACGAGCACTTAAAGGTTCATGGCGCTTGTTAAGCAACTGCAACTGTACTTATAACTATACTTATAACCATACTAGGGCACTTAAGGGGCTTATAAGCGGGTTGTAAGTACAGCTACAGTTGGTTAATAGGTACCATGAACCTCTCGTAAGTACGGGTCATGATGTCTCCAGGCCTTGCGGGAGCTAAGCCTGGAGGCTTTTGGGGGGTCTTGGGGCCCCTAAACCCTAAACCCTAAACCCTAAACCCTAAACCCAAGAATTGGGGCTTTCAGGGCTTGCTTTCGGGCCTGGGGGATATCGGCGATTCGCAAGCTTGAGGTTGTGTTTTTTTTTTTTTTTTTGGGGGGGGGGGGGGAGGGAGGGGCGTTCGAATCCCTTTGACCCTTAAACCCTGAACCCTGAACCCAAAACCCAAAACCCAAAACCAAAAATAACCCTAAACCCTAAACCCTAAACCCTAAACCCTAAACCCTAAACCCTAAACCCTAAACCCTAATCGGAATCTTGTCCCACTCTTGGCTTTGGGTTCGAGCTCGAAGCCGGGTCTCGGGTTCAGGGTTTGGGGCCTTTGGCTCACGGCGCGGGGCCGTTAGGAACGAAGACCGACAACTTCGGAACCCTAAACCCTAAACCCTAAACCCTAAACCCCAAACCCAAAACCCTAAACCCTAAACCCTGAACCCTGAACCCTAAACCCCTTGCCCGGCAGGTTCGGGCTCATTCGATCCAAGACGTAGGGTTGAGGGCAAAACTCCGGGATTTGGGTTGAGGGTTGAGGGTTCAGGGTTCAGGGTTTAGGGTTTAGGCTTTAGGCTTTAGGCTTTAGAGTTTTAGGGCTGAGACCCCTCAAACCCCAAACTTCGGTGTAGGGTTCGAAAGCCGGTTCCAATGATGGTGTCGCATACATGCCAAAATCCTGAAATGCTCTGATGAATGCAAAAGATGTTGGGTTCTTTAGGAAGTACTCTTTTCAATACTCAATAGCTTAAACTTAAAACCGTTTTTTAAACTATTCACTTTCAAAATACGACTGAGGACTACTAGTTTTAATACTTTATTCAATTTGTCTTTGACTCGCCATGCATTGCATTCTCACTACAGAACTAACTTAAAGCATTGTCAGTATTTCTACAGTCTTGTCTCAGGATTTGTTGGGATGATGGGGGGGCGCCTATTTCTGGACGTCGCGCGTAAGGCAGAATCAAGTATCAAACCAAGCAAGCACAAGCTGCCCGACACCCCAACCCACCCTAAACCCTAAACCCTAAACCCTAAACTCTAAACCCTAAACCCTAAACCCTAAACCCACTGGGCCCCCCTTCCCCCCCCCTCCCCCCCCCCTTCCCCCTTTCCCCCCTTTCCCCCGCAGGCCTCCCATACTTTGGATGACAGCCGCGCCATCCTCCGGCACAAGTCATCGACCCACACCCGGCCTATGCCCATCAAGCGCGCTTGGTCACCTCTTCGGTAAGGCTCCGATACCCCCTCTCCCCGGCTTCACAAAGAAGAGATGAACACCACCCTAAACCCTAAACCCTAAAGCCGCAAGGCGACCGGCCGGGTCTACGGAGCGCCGGGAGGACAGCGCGCTGCCTTGCTCGGCGCGCTTGGGGCAGACCTGCACCCGGGCCCTACACCCGAAACCCGAAACCCTAAACGCTAAACCCTAAACCCTAAACCCTGAACCCCAAAGTCACCTTTGGCAAACGAGGAGCTTCAGCAGCCGCATCATGCGCAGGCACTCGAGGAAGTGGTAGACGCTGAAGACGTGACCTTTGGAGCTTTGCATGGGTTCTTGTGTCCAAGTGACAAAGGGTAGGGTTAAGTTTTGTGACTAAGCCGCGAAGTTAGGAACTACTACCCCCTGTTTATCACAGCTTCAGGGAGTTATATATCAGATCAAGAATCACCAAGTCAAAGCAATGCATGGGTTTAGGGGTTAGGTTCCTATGCCCGAAACTGTACTAGCTCGAGGACGGCCTCAACATCACTGCCCGAGGCGGGCCAGGACAACTAAAGATTGGAATTTTTCGAACATGTCGAGGGTCTAGGGTTCAGGGTTTTGGAGGACTGACTACTGCGGTCTACTAAGTAGCACTTCTTCGCTATTGAGCTCAAGGCGCCTGCGAAATCAGACCTACCTGCAAAACCCTCAACCTAGGCCCTTCTCTTAAGGGAGGTTGTTAGGGAACACGGAAAAGTGGGGTAAGACTACTAGATGTGACCTCGGCGCTATAAACAGGGAGACTTCTACAGGGCGGATTTCACAAGGGTTTAGGGTTTAGGGTTTAGGGTTAGGGTTTAGGGTTAAGGGTTTACGGGAATTACGGCTAGAGGTGCTCATGACCCTCCATCTCAGGTGCCTATAGAAAGGTTTTGCCACTTCGGCGCAGGTGCCTAGGCAGCCCGTCGCGCGAGTAGCCTCCTGGCCGTTCAAATGGCAACCTCGGTCCAGGATTTCGGGTTTAGGAATCGCGGTTTAGGGTTTATGGAGTTTAGGGCTTAGGGCTTAGGATTTAGGGTTTAGGGTTTATAGAGTTTGGGGCTTAGGGTTTAGGATTTGGGGTTTAGGATTCGGTGTTCAGGGCTCGGCGCATCCTATCCCTAAACCCTAAACCCTAAACCCTAAACCCTAAACCCTAAACCCTAAACCCTAAACCCTAAACCCTAAACCCTATGCTCAGTCTTTAGGATTCCAGGCCTTTGTTCCAGAAGTCGATCAGCTTGTCGATGAGGGTGGGGACGGCTATCAGGGCCACAAACAGATCCTTGGCTGACTTCGGAACCCCTCCTTTAACTTTTAGGGTTTAGGGTTTAGGGTTTAGGGTTTAGGGTTTAGGGTTTAGGGTTTAGGGTTTAGGGTTTAGGGTTTAGGGTTGAGGGTTGAGGGTTTAAGGGTTTAGGGTTTTAGGGTTTAGGGTTTAGGGGTTTAGGGTTTAGGGTTTAGGGTTTAGGGTTTAGGGTTTAGGGTTTAGGGTTTAGGGTTTAGGGTTTAGGGTTTAGGGTTTAGGGTTTAGGGTTTAGGGTTTAGGGTTTGGATTTAGGGTTTAGGGTTTAGGGTACCCAAAAGGTTAAAGTCCTAAAAGCCAGCCAGAAGAAAGCCAAGGATCCACCACCCCCAAGCAGGAGACGACGTACCTCGCGTGGGGGGGGATTGCGAATACTCAGAGACCCCGAAGATGGACCCTCAAGATCGTACACTCTTATAAACAGGACCGCAGGGTTTAGGGTGTAAAGTTTAGAGTTTAGGATTTAGGGTTTAAGGGTTTAAGGGTTTAAGGGTTTAAGGGTTAAGGGTTAAGAGTCAAGGGTTTAGGTTTAGGGTTTAGGGTCTAGGGTCTAGGGTCTGGACGGGTTTAGGGTTCAGGGTTCAGGGTTTAGGGTCCCCACATCGTTCGAGACCAGGAGCTTCAGGCGGGGGTGTAGGGTTGCATTGCTGTTACGGCTGAGGAGTGCCCCAAACCAAAGCCCATAAGCCAGCGTTTGGGGGTTACCAGGTTTACAGGGTTTATAGGGCTCATAGGGTTTGCAGGGTTTATAGGGTTTATAGGGTTTATAGGGCTTATAGGGTTTATAGGGTATATAGGGTTTATAAGGTTTATAGGGTTTGTAGGATTTGCAGGGTTTATAGGGTTTATTGTGATGTTTGGGTTTTTTCGGGTTTGTGGGGTTGGGCCCGAGGTACAAGACGCCCATGTGTCCGTGGTTCAGGGTGTTAAGGGTTTAGGGAGTTTGGGGTTTGGAGTTTAGAGTCTAGGTCTAGTGAGTTTAGTGTGGGTTTAGGGCTTAGGGCCCTAAACCCTGAACCCAAAAACTAGACCCTAAACCGTAAAACCTAAAAACTAGACCTCAAACCCTAAACCTTAAACCCTAAACCCTGTTTGCAAAGGCCTTAGGCTTTAGGGCTCAGGAATTCGGGTCCCTCTCACCCTGCGGACTCGGGCGCTGTAGGGTGTGCCGTGGCAGATATTGCCTCAAGTAGGGCATACCCCTTATGCAACCCAAAGAAACCCTAAACCCTAAACCCTAAACCCTAAACCCTAAACCCTAAACCCTAAACCCTAAACCCTAACCCTAAACCCTAACCCCCCCCCCCTTCCAAAAAACAAAAAGAAGGTTCACAGCTTCGGGCAGACGAGGTTTTAGGGATTAGGGCTCAGGGGAGTTTAGTGTTCAGGCTGTTTAGGGTTTGGGGTTTAGGGTTTAAAGATTTAGGGTTTAGGGTTTAGGGTTTAGGGTTTAGGGTTTAGGCGCAAGTGTTGTCGGGCAACCTCACAGGCATCCAGGAAGAGGCAAGGCGGCATACAGCAGAGGTATGTGTGCAGGTGCTTGGTAGGTGCAGCAAGCAGGCCGCTAAGTCGGCTACCCACGGCTGGGCTTGTTCCCAGGGTGCAGCAGTGATAGGGCCGCGAGGTAGTCGGCCTGGTATGCCCAGCTATGGCTTGCTCTCAACTGGCGGAATGGCTCCCGGCACATGTTTGGCTTACTGCGGCCAGTGCTTGCTGCATATAGGTTCTGCAGTTGTGCCCAGGCCGCAGCGGTTGCACCTGCGGCTTTCAAACTACTCCCTAGGCTCCCAGCCATCCGAGTGCTATGAGCCATCTTAGGGTTTAGGGCTTAGGGCTTAGGATTTAGGTTTAGGGTTTAGGGTTTAGGGTTTAGGGTTTAGGGTTTAGGGTTTAGGGTTTAGGGTTTAGGGTTTAGGGTTTAGGGTTTAGGGTTTAGGGTTTAGGGTCCCAAGGCCCCCAAGGCCCCCTAGGCCCCCAAGGCCCCCAAGCATGACAGCCCTAAGGCTAGGACTTGCAGCGTCGTGGGCCATAGCCCACCACCCGCACCACGTACTCCATGATGAAGAAGATGGAAGAGACCTGGGCAATTGGGAGGGTTTTGGGTTTAGGGTTTAGGGTTTAGGGTTTCGGGTTTCGCGTTTAGGGTTTAGGGCGCTTTCATCTGGGCACAGATACCCCCAAGCCTAAACACATTCTTGGGGGGGTGCCCTTTTTGGGGACTGGAGAGGGGGGGGAGGGTGTGGGCCTGTGACGGTTTGGGGCCGAGGGCTTCAGCGGCTTAGGGTTTATGAGGGTTCGGGCTTGGGGTTTCGGGCCTTTGGGGCTTAGGGCTTAGCGTGTAGAGCTTAGGGTTTAGGGTTTATGGCTTGGGGTTTAAGGTCTAAGGTTTAGGGCTTAGGGTTTTGGGGGATCTAGGTCCTTGAGAGTTTAGGGCAGACTTTCAGGACTATAGTACTAGGCTCCCCACCCGCAGATGGCACCACAGGACACCGAACCTTCCGGAAACTGAACCCTAAACCCTAAGCCCCGAACCCAAATCCCTGAACCCTAAACTAAACCCTAAGCCCTAAACCCCAATCCCCAAGCGCTCAGCCCCAAACCCCAAGCGCTCAAGCCGAAACCCCAAACCCCGCAAAACCCCAAACACTAAACCCCAAACCCAACCCCAAAACCCTAAAACCCTATACCCTGAAGAAAGTCTAAAACCTATAAGCTTGCTTGCCCAGTAACCATATTGTAATGAGGGTACAGCTGCTTTGGGGCTGAGCACTTTATAAGGGAACCTTGAACCAAAAACAGGCAAAAGGGTTTAGAGTTTAGGGTTTAGGGTTCAGGGTTTAGGGTTTATAGGGTTTAGGGTTTAGGGCCTAGGGTTTAGGGTTGAGGGTTTAGGGTTTAGGGTTTAGGGTTTGGGGTTTAGGGTTTGGGGTTTAGGGTTTAGGGTAACCGAGGCCGAGCTTCCACCTCGAGGAAGGCGCACCACTGGGCCGCCCAAGTCACGGCCTTCACCTGCGTTGGGTTGAGTGAGGGTTTAGGGTTTAGGGTTTAGGGATTAGGGTTTAGGGTTTAGGGTTTAGGGCTTAGGGTTTAGGGTTTAGGGCTTAGGGTTTAGGGTTTAGGGCTTAGGGCCTAGGGCTTAGGGCTTAGGGCTTAGGGCAAAAGGACAAACCAAGGACCAACAATGCTTAAACTTTTTGACCCTAAACCCTAAACCCTAAACCCTAAACCCTAAACCCTAAACCCTAAACCCTAAACCCTAAACCCTACTAGATCAGGAAACCCAAAAAAAATCCAAAGTTCAACTACTGGCTAAGTATATGGAGGTTTACGAAAATAGGGGACCCCAATTTAGATCCCCAAATAGTAGGATTCCCTTACAATAAGGACCCCAATAAGGAACCCCCTGGCCTCATTTCGGAAACCCAAAAATAACCCTAAACCCTACACCCTAAACCCTGAACCCTGAACCCTCAACCCTAAACCCTAAACCCTAACCCTGATTTCGGCTAAGTATGAGTCTTGGCCTAAACCTATTGCGTGTGACAAGCGACCTCCGGAACCGAGACGGCGACAGCGGAGGCAACGCTGAGCACGACCTTGGCGTCATGGGTTCTCCTACTACCCCCCCCCCCCCTCTATACTACACCCGCTTGGGGTTTAGGGTTTAGGGTTTGGGGTTTGGGGTTGGGGGTTTGGGGTTTGGGGTTTAGGGTTTAGGGTTTAGGGATTAGGGTTCAGGGTTTAGGGTTTACGGTTTAGGGTTTAGGGTTTAGGGTTTAGGGTTTAGGGTTTAGGGTTTAGGGTTTAGGGTTTAGGGGATAGGGGATAGGGGATAGGGCTACCCCCCTAGGTTCCCCCCATAAGTAAGGCTACTTTAAGGATAATTAAGCCTAATTGAGGCTATTTAAGGGGGGATCCTAAGGGCAGGTAGTACAGAGGTTGTTGGTGAGCCCATGATTGCAACAAGTCTAGACCCAAGAGTAACACTGGGAAAAGGAAGGGTGCCCTTTTTGGTTGGGCTTGTAAGGGAACCTAAACCCGCAAAATTGCACAGAAGCCCTAAACCCTAAGAACCCCAAACGCACGGTTTGGGGTTCAGGGCTAAGGGTCCTGGGACCCTCTTGCCCGAGGCACTAAACCTTCGAGAGGCTTTCTCACCTGAAGAATTTCGGTCTTTGCGTGTTAGGGCTTTGGCGAACTACCAAGATGGGCCATTAAAGTCCCGAGAATCGACCCTTTAAAGGCCCTTTAAGGGGATTGTCGCGTAGAACAACCCATCCTGGTAGGGGCGTTAGGGCCTTCATCGACCAGAGGCGGGGCATTCTGTAGTAGGTTCGGCAGCGGCAGCCCTGAAACCCCAAACTACCCAAACCCCCAAAACGTAAACCCTAAACCCTAAACCCTAAACCCTAAACCCTAAACCCTAAACCCTAAACCCTAAACCCTAAACCCTAAACCCTAAACCTAAACCCTAAACCCAAAGCAGGAATAGGAAGTAGCTTCATTTCAGGGGACACTCTTCAGCTTGCTACGAGGTGGCCACCACGCAGGAGGTGACATTGAGGCCAAGCCAGAAGAGCCTGAAGTACCGGTGGACAAGGAAGGGAAACGTGCCCCTGCTAGAACCCTTTATCACGGTTTAGGGTTTCGGGTTTAGTGTTTAGGGTTTAGGGGTTGAGGGTTTAGGGTTATGGGGTTGAGGGTCTAGGGTTATGGGCACTTGGAGGTTCATGGTAGTTTAGGATAGCATAGGGTAGCTTAGGGTAGTTTAGGGTAGCTTTGGGTAGTTTAGGGCTTGTAACACAATTATAAGCCTAAGCCCTAAACCCAAAACCCTACACCCCAAAAGCCTACGAATAAAACCCTCCTTGGGGCACGTGGGGTAAAGTACCCTTGAACCTCCAAGCACTTCAAGGCTCATCGTGTGGTGTTTAGAGTTTAGGGTTCAGGTTTTAGGGTTTAGGGTTTAGGGTTTCGGGTTTAGGGTTTAGGGTTTAGGGTTTGGGGTTTGGGGTTTGGGGTTTGGGGTTTGGGGTTTGGGGTTTGGGGTTTGGGGTTTGGGGTTTGAGGTTTGGGATTTAGGGTTTAGGGTTTAGGGTTTAGGGCAGGGATTAGGGTCTAGAGGGTCTTCGAACTAGTAACAATTGGGGTTAGCGGGGAGCCTGTACAAGGCCAACTTGGGGGCTTTACCCTAAACCTAAACCCTAAAGCCCAAACCCTAAACCCTAAACCCGAAACCCTAAACCCTAAACCCTAAACCCTGACCCTAAACCTAATCAGTAAAAACCCTAATAACCGTGAACCCTAAACCCTAAAACCCTAAACCCAAAACCCCTTAACCCCGTGACTCTGGGAACCTTAAGGAGTACTAGGTGAGTATTAGGGACTACGAAATTGCCTACCTTTCTTGGACCCCTTCCCCTGGATCGAAACCCCAATCCCTAAACCCTAAACCCTAAACCCTAAACCCTAAACCCTAAACCCTAAACCCTAAACCCTAAACCCTAAACCCTAAACCCTAAACCCTAACCGCGAAGCCCCAAACCTTGGGATGCTCACCATAGACTTACAGTCGCGAAGAGGGATTGTCGTACCCCCCCCCCCCTTTTGTAACCCCCTCTAAACCCTAAACCCTACACCCTACACCCTACACCCTACACCCTAAACCCTAAACCCTAAACCCTAAACCCTAAACCCTAAACCCTAAACCCTAAACCCTAAACCCTAAACCCTAAACCCCACCACCTGAAACCCTTAGTATAAGGGGACCCAAACCCCTGAAGATGTCCAGGAGCGTGGAGCCCTGATCATGGGTGACCGAGGAAGATGTGCTTGTCTCGCTCGTCTCCTCGGCTGGGCTTGGGGGTTCAGGGTTTAGGGTTAGGGTTTAGGATTGAGGGTTTAGGGTTTAGGGTTTAGGGTTTAGGGTTTAGGGTTTAGGGTTTAGGGTTTAGGGTTTGGGAGTGAATGCTCAGGGTTTACTCAAGACCCTGAACGCAACGATGCCAGGCTAAGATCCTCCGAAAACTCGCATGTAGCCCTGAAAACCAACCAAGACCACAACCCTAAACCCTAAGGGTTTAGGGTTTAGGGTTTAGGGTTTAGGGTTTAGGGTTTAGGGTTTAGGGTTTAGGGTTTAGGGTTGAGGGTTTAGGGTTTAGGGTTTAGAGTTTAGGGTTTAGGGTTAGGGTTTAGGGCTTAGGGTTTGGGACCCTCAATGCACCAATTAAACACTAAACCCCCCAGCCCTTAACCTAAAGGATATTCGGACGAACTCAAGAAGGAAACATGAACACTTCTACTCTAAAAACCCTACACACAGCGATTAGGGTTTGAGGTTTAACATTTAGGTGCTTTGCTTTTTTGATAGAGGGTGCGAATTCCGAGACAAGTTCGGCCGGGATTTGCTTGTGCCCAAAACTTTGCTTCATGAACGACTTCGACTTCCATTGACCCAGCTGTGGAACCAAATTAGGTCTGGTGCCTGATATTCTACTTCGGGCTGGGCCATAATCCAAACAGAGTCCTAAGAGACCCTCTTTTCAATTGAGTAGATAGTATGAGAGTGTGGCTTAAGTAAACCTTAAACGCTAAACGCTAAACCCTAAACCCTAAACCCCAAACCCCAAACCCGAAACCCTAAACCCCAAACCCCCTAAAGCCGCGGTCCCAGGCTCGGAGTCCGAGTCGGTTGGGGACTCGCTCATGGCACCCGCAGGCGAGAACCGCGGGATTCTGAAGGGGTTTAGGGTTTAGGGTTTAGGGTTTAGGGGTTTAGGGGTTTAGGGGTTTAGGGGTTTAGGGTTTAGGGTTTAGGGGTTTAGGGTTTAGGGTTTAGGGTTTAGGGTTTAAGGTTTAGGGTTAGGGTTTAGGGTTTAGGGTTTAGGGTTTAGGGTTTAGGGTTTAGGGTTTAGGGTTTAGGGCTTAGGGCTTAGGGCTTAGGGCTTAGGGCTTAGGGCTTAGGGTTTTGGAATAGCAAAAACTGGCTCTGACGAGCTGAGTTTTAAAGAAGCTTAGACAGGCTGCTGGAGGGATCTGAGGGTTCAGGGCCTACGACCCAGGGGTTTAGGGTTTGGGGTTTAGGATTTAGGGTTTAGGGTTTAGGGCTTAGGCGTCTCGGTCTTCAGCCTTTTCGGCTCGTCTGGCGACGCGAGCGAGCCACCGTGTTTTCCCAAGCTTAGGGTTTTAGGGTTTAGGGTTTAGGGTTTAGGGTTTAGGGCTTAGGGTTTAGGTCTTAGGGTTTAGGGTTTAGGGTTCTGGGGTTGAAGGTTTGAGGTTGTTCGGGGGCGGGGAGGGGGGGTTTCTAGCAAGAGCCACAACGAGGAAACGAGCTACCTGGCGATCTTGTTACCGAGCCCAAGCTCTCTAAGTATAGGGCCCTTAATAATTAGAATAGGGCTTTTGTGGTTTCATGACATAGGCAGCATAAAGGAATCCTACTAGTAAATATTCCAACCCCTATGGTATACTCTTTACCCTTGCAACCCTGAACCCTAAACCCTAAACCCTAAACCTTTAGTATTCTTTTTTTTTTTTTGGGGGGGGGGGGTTGCTCCCATGAGAAGGACTGTATTGTTTTGGGGGTTTAGCGGTTCAGGTTGAAAACCCTAAGCCTGAACTTAAGCCTCAACTGGAGGGATTCAGGGCTAGGGTTTAGGGGGTTCAGGGTTCAGGGTTCAGGGTTCAGTTTAGGTTTAGGGTTTAGGGTTTAGGGTTTTAGGGTTTAGGGTTTAGGGCTCAGGGCTCAACCTAAACCTAAACCCTAACCCATAAACCCTCAACCCTAAACCCTAAACCCTAAACCCTAAACCCTAAACCCTAAACCCTAAACCCTAAACCCTAAACCCTAAACCCTAAACCCTAAACCCTAAACCCTAAACCCTAAACCCTAAACAGAAGCAGTAGGACCAGCTGGGGATAGGGTTTAGGGTTTAGAGCTTAGGGTTTAGGGTTGAGAATCTACATGTTTTCGCGTTTCCCGACGCAACGGCACTCAAAGAGGGGATTGTGAGGGCAGGGGGTCGCGGCGATTGCGCGCTCGAAGAGGGCCAAAGCCATTCTTCCCAAACCCCCACTTGCAGGATCGGGGGGTTTAGGGTTGAGGGTTTAGGGTTTAGGGTTTAAGGTTTAGGGTTTAGGGTTTAGGGTTTAGGGTTTAGGGCTTCGGGCTTCGGGCTTCGGGCTTCGGGCTTAGGTTTCGGGGATTTAGTGAGTAGTGTTTCCCTTTTCGTAGGGTTCTGAAAGCAGGATAATACCAACCAGCGTTTCTTCTACGGCACCGATAGCGTACCTGCTTAGGGTTCACGGTTCAGCGTTCAGGGTTCAGGGTTCAGGGTTCAGGGTTCAGGGTTCAGGGTTTAGGGTTTAGGGTTTAGGATTTAGGGTTTAGGGTTTAGGGTTAGGGTTACAAAGTCCCCCCGATCCTCCAAGCAAAGCACCGAATGCGGGCGGACGATGGTTTCCACACGTCGCAGCCCAGAGGAAAATTTAGGGACTAGGGTTTTAGGGTTTAGGGTTTAGGGTTTAGGGTTTAGGGTTTAGGGTTTAGGGTTTAGGGTTTAGGGTTTAGTGTTTAGGGTTTAGGGTTTCGGGTTTAGGGTTTAGGGGTTTAGGGGTTTAGGGTGTAGGGCTTGGGATGTAGGATTTCGATGTAGCCGTGTTTCTCCATGCGGTTTGGGTTCACGGGTCTGGGCAACTTTGGGTTGCCGCAGACCCAAGCCGCAGCAACCGCGGACAAAGCAGGGATTGTGAGGGCAGTGGAAAGCTTGCCAATGCTATTCTTCCCACACCCTGAGTTGGAGGATCGGGAGACTCAGTGATCAGTGAGGAGTGTGTAAGCAATCTCGTAGGGTTATAAGTTATAAGAGCAGGATAAATTCATTCGTGCACCGATGGTGTGCCCACTTACGAAGTCCCCCGATCCTCCAAGCAAGAACCGACAGTGGATGGACGATGGTTGCCACCCGTCGCAACCCAGCAAAAACATATAGGGTCTAGGCGGCCTAGGGTCTCGGGCTTAGGGCCAGTGATGGCGCCTCGCAGGGCCTCAAGTCTGGAGGCTGGGGTTCAAGGTTTGGGGCGTCACGACAACTATCTTACAAACCAGAAAATACCTGAAGCCCCAACCCCTAAACCCTACTACCTGCAACTGCCCATGAGAAGAGAAACTCGCAGTGGCCACACAAGATCCGATCTGAATGGGCATACGGCTCCCT